CGGCCAGCACCGACACACAGACAGACTGAGAAGAAAGAGTGGTTCATAGTACTGCACTGATTGATTGAGCACTGAGAACAGCGGCGGCGGCCACTGGGAACGGCTGCTGCTGCTGCTGCTGTGGATTGTGTCTCGTAGTGAGGGGAAAAGAAGTGAGGAGTGGAAGTGGGAGCAAGTGCACTTCCGTCGCCCCTTGGATACCGACACTGAAAGAAGGAATGGAAAGGTGCGCACTGATACCCGTCGGTACAGCATTCCACAGCGGGCAAAGGTCAATTTGGATGAGTGAGTGAGTGCGAGCGAGTGAGTGAATGAATGCATAAAGAAGTGAATGAATGAGTGCACCTAGGGCAGCACAAAAGGCTAAGGGGTTTTCTCCCTTTCTCTCCTGTCAGTAGGTCAAATGAGTGCTACAAAACAAAATAGAAATACAGGCTGGAAATGCCGCTGACATTGATTGCAATCGAGTGCAACCAGGGCGGCTGCTGCTGCTGCTAATCCGCTGCTGACCGCCACGGCGCGACACTGTCAAACATAGAGCCAACTGAAATAGAACTGAAATAGACCACCGCCACTGGGCTAGACCGCCGCCATCAGATCGATTGCAGGCGATTGCCCGCCGCTGTCTGATGTTTATCTCTCCCGCTTTAGCAGTTCGATTTATCATCAACGAGTGAGCGAACAGTGGGACTGAAAGAGTGGGAGGAAAAAACTTTGCCGACTTCCCGACTTCACAGCAGGGCAGGACGACACTACTCTGAAAATAGAACTCTCGAGGGTGGTGGTAATGGAAGCTGCCGCCGACAACAATTCAGAAGCCGACAGCGTAAATTGATTACGTAGGTAAATTAATATCAGCTACTGCTGCTGCTGCTGCTACGATATCATTTGCATGATTCAACAAAACAAAGAGGAGGAAGGCTCGCATTTAAATATCAAAGAGAATGAAATAAACAGTGTAGCAAAACTTACCGGCGCTCTTGCTGTACATGTTGCAACTCTTCTCGGTGGCTTTCTCTGACGGTGTCTTCAGGCGCATTCAGGCGTCTTCAATCTTCAGTGGCAGCGGCAACAACAACAACATCATCATCAACATCAACGGCGGTGTTGGATGTGGTGGTGGCGGTGGTGGTGATGGTAGTGCCAACACAGTACATCACAGAAGAAGAGGAAGAAAGAAGAAGAAAAGGACGTGAATTAGTAGGGCAATGAAAGTACAAATGAGCAAATGTTGCCGGTGCATAACTGCAGAGAGCGGAACGGAATGAGAGAAATGGGGAAATGCGATAAATGCGATGCGGCAAAGCATGCTTCTAATGCTTTTACTGCTGTACAGTGATGGAACTCTACATTGTAAAGAGAGGCTCCTGTCTGCGTGGGTGGCGGAGGGCATCTCGACTAAATGGCAGCCTTGAAAAATGACGGTATGTGGGCCGAACAGGGAAAAGAGGCAGAGAGAGTACTTGAGCCCGACTTTCACGAAACGTGAAGTGATGATGTGATGACCCTAAAGTTGATGCTACTTCAACTACTACTACAACTGCTGCAACTCTCAACTGTTCTGAGAAGATATTTTCTAGATGGTTTGCTTACTAAATAGCTAAAATTGGGTGTAGAAATAGAACTCTTTGGAGAAGTAGAACTTTGGTGGGCGGTAAAGAGNAAGTGATGATGTGATGACCCTAAAGTTGATGCTACTTCAACAACTGCTACAACTCTAAACTATTCTGGGAAGATATTTGCTAAATGTTCTTCAGTTAGCTAACTAAAATTGGGCGTAGAAATAGAACTCTTTGGAGAAGTAGAACTTTGGTGGGCGGTAAAGAGAGAGGGAAGAAACGCAAACAATCAAACAAAAGACAAAAAACCCGCGTACAAAAAATTTCCGCTGCAGCTGCCGTAAGTAGTGGACGTATCCTGGACTACGAAAAGCGGCTTCTTCTGCGGCTGCTGCTGCTGTTGATGATGGTAATGATAATGACGACGACCTTGTCTTGAAGAAGAAGAAGAAGACGCTGCGATGACGGCAAAAAAGAGCAAGTCGTCCTGGCTGCTGCCGTCCTCACTGAAGGAGATGATATCAGCAGCAGATGGCCGGAGACCACGGAGACCGTTGTTGTTGTTGTTGTCGCTGTCGTTGTCGTTGCTGGCACTGATGATGATAGGCATTGGAATCGAGAGAGAGAGAGCTTGGAGGAGAAGAATAACAATGACGACAATAATGATNTGTCGTTGTCGTTTCTGGCACTGATGATGATAGGCATTGGAATCGAGAGAGAGAGAGAGAGAGAGAGAGCTTGGAGGAGAAGAATAACAATGACGACAATAATGATAACGACTGACGACGATGTTGACGGGGTTGGCAGGCAAAGAGTGTGCTACTGACGAGAATACTGGTGGTGGTGGTAGGCAATGAGGTGGCAGAATCAGAGAACAAGGAATCTGAAGACGAAAACGAAGAAGGTGATGAGTTTTGAAGTAAAGAGCGAAGAGTGCAGAAGTAGTGACGTGGTCGGAGAGAGAAAGGATGAATGGTATCTTATCCGCCTTTGATCGCCTACATCCTCACCGAAGAGCTGCTGAACTCATTTCGAACATTTCTTCTGAAACTCGAGCTTTTNTAACGACTGACGACGATGTTGACGGGGTTGGCAGGCAAAGAGTGTGCTACTGACGAGAATACTGGTGGTGGTGGTAGGCAATGAGGTGGCAGAATCAGAGAACAAGGAATCTGAAGACGAAAACGAAGAAGGTGATGAGTTTTGAAGTAAAGAGCGAAGAGTGCAGAAGTAGTGACGTGGTCGGAGAGAGAAAGGATGAATGGTATCTTATCCGCCTTTGATCGCCTACATCCTCACCGAAGAGCTGCTGAACTCATTTCGAACATTTCTTCTGAAACTCGAGCTTTTACATTCCTCAGCTACGGATCGCAACTGTTCTTTGGTAAGCAAAATTCGAAGTTACGATCCTCGGCGATCGATGCTGCCTACTACTGCTGCTGATGGCCATGATGATGTGTGTGTGTGGTGGTGGTGGTGGTGGTGGATAAAACCTATGATGATGCAATGATGATAAGAAGAGCAACGATGTAAACGATGACGATGATGACTCAGAAGAGGAAGAAGTAAAAGACAAACAAAGCAGACATAAACCACACACATAAACACACACGAACACTGGTAAACACACACACAGACTCGTCGGATTAGACACTCGAGTAGTCGGATTCTGGTTCTGTTGGTTCTGTTGGTCGTCGTCGTCGACTGCACTACCACACCAACAACGCTGACGACACCGACTCTCCTCACCGATGGAACAGAATTCTGCTTCTCAGCTCAGCTCAGCTGGCTCGTCTGGCGCGACCCTTGGGCGACGGCCGAGGACACAGACTGACGCTGACTGAACAGTGTTCCAGAGTGCTTGCTGCGCCAGTGTTTAGGAGAAGAAGAAGAAGAGAAAGGGAAGAAAAGAAACTGAGTCAGTCAGTCATCTGTTCGGCGGCGGCTGCTGCTGCATCGAGGAGTACCAGCAGGACTACCACCACTCTTTAGCAGGACAGGAGAGCAGAACAGAGCAGAGAGCTAGCAGCATCGTTTGGAGCAGCAGCAGCAGCAGCTGAACATCGTCGTCACCGAGTCGAGGGTTGAGACTCACCAGCAATTTGCAGTGGTGCTGGTGCTGGTGCTGAGCAGACGTAGTAGACAAGTAGTTTAGGGCATCGTGGTCTTCGTGGTGGTGTGGTGGTGGTGGTGGTGGCNCTGGTGCTGGTGCTGAGCAGACGTAGTAGACGAGTAGCTCAGGGCATCGTGGTCTTCGTGGTGGTGTGGTGGTGGTGGTGGTGGCAGTCCTGAGACCTTCGCAGACTCCGGAATGGAATGGAATGGGAGAAAGTGGGAGAGCACTGACACAGGCGGCAGACTGGCGGCCGAGCTCGAATCCAAGCCCAAAAGCTTTCTCTTTCTTCTTCTGCTCCTACGAAGGGTTCCAACGCCGAGGAGAGAGAGTGAGTGAGAGTGGCGATCAATAAAAAGAAGTCACCGCTCAGAGTGCTCGGCTGCTGCTGCTGCTGCTGCTGCCGTGCACAGGCACAGCTCTGGTGGCGCTGGCTCTGGAGCACAGTCTCCTCGGTCTCTCAGGCCAGCACAGATATTGAAACCGATCGAGCAGCAGCAGCAGCAAAGTACTCCGCCAGGATGTGCCACCAGAGCAGGAGACCGTACCAGAAAATGAAGGCAGACAGTCGCACTGCACCAGACTGTACAGCAGCGGCGGCAGCAGCAGAATGCAGAACTCAGAATACAGAATCCAGCAGCAGCAGCAGGATTCTCTCCCTCTATATAGCCTCAATGATCCAGGCAGTCAGTGAAACTCTCAGCAGAATGCTGCTGCTGGAACAGCAGCAGAGTGGACACAGACAGATGGCGACAGATGGCCAAAAACTACCCCAGGAAAAAGCCCAAAAATGTCACCTCTTCCAGGGCTCGGTTTGGCCCTCTCGTGCCAGGCAATAGAAATGAAAAAGAACAACTAGGACCAGTAAAATGTGTGTTCGGTTTAATTCTTACTTTGTGGTGTGGTGGTAATATCATCAACACATTAAATGGAAAGAGAAAGAGGAAAGAGAGATACAGTGGCGTACACAGACCGAGACGAGAAAGAGAAAAGAGAAGAGAAGAGAAAAGATAAGTGTGTGATTGAGAGGAAGAGGGTAAAAACTGGAAGAGGAGAGATAAATAGAAGTGTGTTGGGTGTGTGGTGTGTGGCTGGAACTTCGGGAAAACCATAAGAGTGATAGTAGTAGTAGTAGTAATAATAAGATTAAAGATTAGGGTGTGTGATGGGAGAGACGACCTAGGGACTTGGGGACCCAGGAGCCTAGCCTACATGCCATAGGAGTTAAAAAACTGCTGGTTGGGCACGGCGCCGGCGCTGGGCCCCGGGACAAAGGTGCCGAGGGGGGCGCCGCCGGGTCCAAGGCCGGCGTTTCCGCCGCCACTGACCGAGCCAATCATGCCCGGCGGCGCCGTCAGCATCAGCTGCGGGTCGGCGGTGTAGACAATGGACGCCTGCTTCTGCTCATTCTGGACGCTCTCCTCCAGCTTCGTCTCCACCACCTCCTTCAGCTCGTCCGTCTTGGCGGTGTACTCCCGGACCACCTGGATCATGTAGGGCATGGCGTACTGCATCAGCCCGTACCGCCAGCTGTACTCCATCACCACGTCCGGCCGGAGGAGGTCGTAGCACTGGTAGAGCATGGCGGCGAAGCAGGCGTGGTTGCCCCGGTCGATGAACCAGTGGAGGAGGTCCTCCGCCAGCTCCTGCTGCTTCGACTCGGCGGTGAACTCCATGGCGTCCTTGTAGAGGCCGTCCTTCTTGCACAGCTCCACCGACTGCTTCCAGCGGTTGTTGCCCTTGTAGAGGTAGGCGGCGATGCGCCGGAACTCAATCAGCTCGTGCTTTTCGAGGCGCTGGGCGAGGGCAATGGTGTCGAAGTTGTCGTAGGCGTCAATGGAGGCGCGCAGCGCCGTGAAGTCCTCCTCCTCGATGAAGAGGTCGTTGAGGGCCTCGTTGATGGCCTTGTTGTTGGAGCTCTGCACCGAGCGCAGGTAGGTCTTGACGAGGGCGAGGTGGTTGCCCTGAGGGAGAGAGTGAAAGTAGTGCGTTAAGATTTGCATCGAAACAAAGTCGACAATTGTGTAGAACTCACCTTGGTAAAGAAGGTCACCGCTCGGGTGTGATCCATTCGAGGGGCCAGCACCAGCAGCAGGTCATTGAGGAGCAGCGGCTTGTAGTCGAGGTAGAACTGCACCGCCCGGTAGTACAGCTCCACATTGGCCACCTTGGTGATCATGTCCTTGAAGTGGCCCTCGCGCCACGCCTCCGTCGGGTGGGTCATCATGGTGAGGATGGCATTGTCGAACTCCTCGTACTTGTTGTAGAAGAAGACCAGCTCCGCCCAGAGGTGGGCCGACTCGGCGGCGCGCAGCACCTTGGGAATGTTGACGCGGCTCCAGAAGAGCTCCAGGTGCTCGCGCATCTTCGAGGCCTTGTACTTCGAGTAGAGGATGGCCAGCTCGGTGAACATGCCCATGTGGGCCCGTTCCAGGCCTAGGGGGAAAAGGAGGGAAAAGTTAGGGTTAGAAAATGGTAAACAAAAAGACAAAAACTTACCCAACCCTGCCTCCAGCAGCGCAATCAACTCCTCAAAGTACCCTCGTCCCTGGTAAAAGTTAATCAGGTCCTCCAGCTCATCGGCGTGCACCACAATGTTCAGGCCGCACATCTGCGCCAGGCGAAACTCGCCGTGCTCCACGCAGGCAAAGCACACCTCCTTCCAGGTACGGGTGCTGTTCGCCTTCCGCGCCGAGTCGACCGCCCCCTGAAACTGCTCCAGGTGGACGAGGGTAATCGCCAGGCGGCCATAGTTCGCCACATTGTCGTACAGGATCCGCGCCGGCTCGTAGAGCTTGTCCTCAAAGCAGCGGTCGCCAATCTTGCTGATATCCGCGTGGTTCGGACTGCTGATAAACTCCTCCAGGTCCGTCAGGCGGTTGGTCTTCGCATAGGCGTAAATGAGCTCCGACTCAATGTACGGCTCGCGGGCCTTCTTCCGCGCCATCTGCAGAAAGCGCACCAGGTCCTCCCAGCTGTTGGTGCGGTGCGCGGTGGCCACCACGTCCATGTACACGCCCGGCTCGCCGGCCTTGATGAAGGAGTCAATCGCCTCCTTCACCAGATTCTCCGCCAGCTGCGCCTTCGCCAGCAGCGTCCACACCGCCGGCTCGTTGCACCGCTCGGCAAACTCGTAGGCGCGGTCGAGGTTCTTGATGTGCTCAATGAGGACCTGAATCGCCGAGGCGTTCACCTCGAACTTCTTGAAGATGGCAAAGGCCTCCTCGTACAGCTCCGAGGTGATGGCGATGTTGGCGATGTCGGGCGCGTCGTAGTTGTCCAGCCGGTTGATGTACTCCATGACCCGGGTCCGGTCCGCCTTGATCGCCGTCAGAATGAGCAGATTCTGCAGGTTGCGGTGGTCGCTGAAGACGGAGTTGTCGAGGACGATCTTCTCGAGGAGCTCAATCAGCTCGTTGGGCAGGTTCGCCGCCATGAAGGCCTTCACCGTGACGCTGATGTCCTCGGGGTCCTGCGTCTCGGAGAGCGCCGTCTGGACGACCTGTCAATGGGGAAAAGAGAGGTCAAAATCAATCAAAACAAAACAAAAAATCACAAATCCCAAAACACCTACCTGATCAATCAGCTGCCGCCGATAGGGATTCGACTCCTGCAGCACCTCCACCCAGAGGTCGCCGTCGCGGCGCTTCACCAGATAGCGAGCCTCACTCTTAAAGAGCGAATTTTCATTGCAAACGTTAATCAGCTCCTTGTCGCACTGACCGCGCTCATAGGCAATGCACGCCAGGTGCGGGTCGCNGTAGCGAGCCTCACTCTTAAAGAGGGAATTTTCATTGCAAACATTAATCAGCTCCTTGTCACATTGGCCCCGCTCATAGGCAATGCAGGCGAGGTGCGGGTCGCGCTTCTCGCAGTACTTGCCCACCACGCGACTGTCGTAGAACTGGTTCTCCTTCAGAAAGCGCTCCGCATTGTTGTTCGAGTCAATGTAGATCTTGGCGAGGGCATTGTGGGTGGCCGGCTCGTTCACCCCATCGTGGATGCGCGTCTCCAGCCAGGGGAGAAGGAGCTTCAGGCGGTTTCGCTTCTCCACCTCCTCCACCAGCTCGTCGGTGCTGAACTGCCCCTTCACCACCATGATCAGCTGCTTGATGACGTCCTCGCTGCAGTCCACGTCCAGCAGGCCCCGGACCACCACCGGCAGCCGACTGGGGTTGACCTTCTGCACGTAGATCTCAATGTACTTCGAGAGGTTGTTCCGGTACAGGTACAGCACCAGGTCGNGCCCCGGACCACCACCGGCAGCCGACTGGGGTTGACCTTCTGCACGTAGATCTCAATGTACTTCGAGAGGTTGTTCCGGTACA